AAAATATTCCTTTTCTGCTGACAAGCGTTTATTACCTTCGCCACAGCACAGTCTTCACCGCCCTCTGTTTTCGGGCTGTTTGTCTGTCTGTTACCAATATTATGCAAAAAATAAGGATCATCTTGAAATTTAGTGGAATGGTGCATAATATGGTAAGAAAGAGAGGCTTATAGCTTGTAATCGGATTTCCTTCTATTGTAATTAATATTTTTTATACAAGAAAAATTAGTCCAGTCAAATATCACCTACACCATTGCATAAACTAGGTACAAATAAATCCATAGTTCAATTATTATTGATAGGAATTCGTGAACTTTCTATATAATACCGGTTGAGAGAAATTGTTTACATTCGCAGATTCCTTTTATTTACCGTTACCAATATTTATATAGTGTATGTATGTATGTATGTATGCATGTATGTATGCATGTATGTATACATATTTACAGTCTGACACTTTCAATATTCATGAAGTAATCCAACTATAAATTTAAAGCAGGTATCTGATGAATGTAAATTATTAATACATATTATTTTACCTATTGACGCCTTGTTTAGACTCAAAACAAGTTTTGTTTTGAGTATTAAGAATAACCATTTTGGTCGTTGTTATTGCTGTTGTACTAATTATGCAGGGCTTTTGTGACAGAACTGACTTGTGTATTTCGAATATCAGTTTTTGTCGAAAACAAGATCGAAACGTGTAGGAAATTCGAGTAATCTTTAACAACTGAGGGCGTCATCAAAAATGAGTTCAGAGCATAGTAAACCATGATACGCCAATTTTATCAATTTTCTAACTCTCAAAGTGTCTGATGTGTGTAACTCATACATGCCAGCAATTGAGTAAATAAAAAATTAGATGGATGAGTTTCTTCATAGACTGTAAGTATTTTGACGCTATGCGCTAACTGAGGGCGGGAGGCCAAGCCGGGGAAAAGTTTGGGAGAGGGGTGTCCACTCTCATGAGGTGTGTCCCCTCTCATTAGATTGGGGTCTGGCGAGAACCCCTGAAGCTCTAGGACTCTTTCTGTTTATAGAGCTAAACATGATTTGGATATGTAAGTAATTACTATTAATTTTTAAAATCTAATTAGGCTTTAGTGATTAAATTCATTCTTAAATCAGAAGCTGGGGAAAATCAGGAGCATGATTTTCAATCAGGAGACAAGTCTCAAATCTCAAAATCAGGAGTCTCCTGATCAAATGAGGAGTGTTGGCATGTATGGTTCAGTTGTAGTTAATCTAAACAATTTTTTTGGAATAACAATACATTGTAATATATTTAATCATTTCAGTGGCGGATTCAAGGGGTGGGGGGAGCAGCCGTCCTGCACCCTCCCCCCACCTTAATTTTTTTCAAAATAGAAAAAAAAAAGGAAAAAACAAAAAGGAAAATTCTACTCAAATTTTAAGTCTAAGAATGCCATTTCCGGCCATCTAAAGGTATAATCATACATTTTCTTACCTTAGCCCCAACCATGGTGGGGCTGAGGTTAGAAAGTCTTTGAAAGTCCCTCTTTTGGTCCCCTCTATTTCAAATTCGTGGATCCGCCACTGCACTCTCAGGTTTATCAATTTGTAATTTTTGTATGCCCACGGACGTTATCGGTCAATCTTTTCTGTCCGTGTAAAGCCTTCATTTTGTTGGTGTAAAAAATCACAAAGGAAGGCAGGTGAAAATAGCGTTCAAAATTTTAATATTTCTTCTAATATTCTACATTTAGTGCGACTCAATATCAATAGTTATTTAACTATAGGAACTCTAATTAGCATTAATTGAAGTGCCCTCTAGTGTCACAGTGAAACATCAATTTTAAATTAAGAAATGTCTAACTTTCATTTCGATTCTTTTCTCCTTCACGTTCTCTAGAGTACAAGTTTTTTCAATCTGCATTTATACTTTTCTCTACTTCATTTACTGGCTGTCTAGCAGCTAACCTAAGCAAAAGAGAAAGAGAAAGTATTAATTCGACAAGACCCATTTCTTAGCTAACAATCTTATGTTATAAGAACGTTACAATAGTATTGTATAAAACGTTATTTTGTAGAATCATAGAAATAAGGTTTAAACTTTGAACGTCGTGTGAACGGTATTTCGTGACATACTTAACCACACACTTTCGCAAAACTTATAAGAACACTTTGTGATTCCTGGATTGGTACACATCAGCAATTCGGAAGAAACATTATCAAGCTTCAGTTAGAGCAGGGGTGGGCATAAACATGTGTCGGAGGGCCAAATAAATGTTTGATTTAACACTTAGTTTGATCAAAACATTGATGTTTCAGGGTGATTCCAAAAACCTTCATGTACTGCTTTCATACCGCTTTATACTCAGTGTTAGTAGTACATTACTTTTTACAGATGATCGGTGTCGGGCCGTGAAAGAAGGGGTTTTCTAGCCAAAGATAGTTGCCAAGCCGCACACAGGGTTCTAAATTTATTTTCGCGGGCCGTAACAAAATCCCTTTCGGGCTACAAGATGTGGGCAGGGAGCCACGCTTTGCCAACCTGTGAGTAGGTGACCCTACTTGCTAAAATGTTCCGGTCTTTTTTGAAGATTGTAGGATGTTGGTAGCCTCCTGACATATCGACGTATGTTTGTAATTTGAAAAAAAGAAAAGTAAGTTATCTTAACAGAAAAAACCGAAGAGAATAACTAAAAAATATGCAGAGATTATTTATTGAAAAAAAAATGCAAGAAAACGGTTTTTAATTTTATTTTTGCTTTTGATTGTTTTTGTATGCTTCACCTTGCTGGAGGTTATTTTTTAATAAATTTGAATAATTTTAAATATAGGGGCGGAGTCAATGCTTTGTGTAAATAACTTTAAAGGACAGCGACACAGTTTAAGGCTATCTAAAATTAAATGCATTCAAACTTTATCTATATATAACAATTATAACTATTTTCGCATGAAATTCCAACAACACGCACTATCCTGCTAGCATAGCGCCCTCTACCATAATATACGTAAGGCAGAACGTAGTAAAGGCAATAAACAAATCAATCATTCAGTCATTTATATAGGCTTATATATACATTATATATATACTGTCTCTTACTACCGTCTAACTTAGCGTATTTCTATCATTGTTTTTGTTATACATATACATATATATATACAATATATATATATATGTTATATACATGTTATATATATGTTATATATATATATATACCTACAATATACATTATGTGTGTGTGTGTTTGTTTTTATTTATTGCTCAATCCTTACAGAAATCAATAAAAATCAAAGTGTGTGTGTCTGCACAGTAAAAGTTCTATTTTGTCACACTCAGATTCCTCTACATTTTTTATGAATGTATTTATGTATATTTACAGCATTACCGCAAGACGGTTTAGAGTTTATCTATTTCATATCGTTAATTATATACATACATATATATATATTCTTTTAGTAAATAAACATAATGCAAATAACAGGTATTATGAATAAATGTTATTGAAAAGTTAAGCACTCACGTAGAAAAAAAGGAAATTAAACCATCGTGGTTCTATTCACTGTCATTTATATCAAATCTATGAAATATTGCTCATCCATGAATCCCTAATTATGGTTTTCATACTAAACATCCGGAAAGGTCTGGCTGAAAACCACAATTATTTTTTAAGACCGACACTGGCCCCATTGTCGTAACACCTATGGGCTCTCGGGAGTGAAGGCCCCAGTCCAAATGGGCCTCGAAGTCCTCCTACTAATAAACAGCGTCTCTTCTAACAGAGCCTTTAAATTATGGTCTAGAGAATAGGCTACGCCCAAAAATAGCAAATCAAAGCAATGTAATAAATCCAAGGTTTTTACTTCACGAATCAGGGGACGCGCCAGGACCAGGAGGGGACCGGCGAGGTCTCCGACGGCGGGGGGGGGGGGGCGAAATAATGTAGTAAAAGACTACTATAAATCAAATTAGGCCTATATAGGCCTAATAAATGGCTACGGTATTGATTGATATTCTAAAATCTACTAAAAACTAGCTCGACCATTTTTATGACACCTCTAATACTTTCTCGCCGTCGGACCCCGTCGGTACGCCACTGTCTGTCATTGTCATTGGGCAAGACACTCTTGTGGTCGGGGATGATTAAAAATAGAAATAGGATCGGAGTATTGATCATATGGAAAACTAGGAATAGACCTACAATACTCTCCTAGGAGACTATTCCATTACCGTATTTATTTTGGTTCCCAATGACCAGCTTCAAATTAAAAAAAAACCCCGATATATGAATATTCAAAGAAATTCAATTTTATTATTCTATTCACTTTTCAATTCACGTTCCAGTTATAATAATAATAATAATAATAATAATAATAATAATAATAATATAACAATAATAATAATAATTTAATAACAATTATAATAATAAAATATTAATAAAATAATAATTATAATTGTAATTATAACAATATTAATAATAGGCCTATAATAATAATATAATTATAATACTATAATAATAATAATAATAATAATAATAATAATAATAATAATAATAATAATAATAATACTGTAATAATAATAATAATAATAATAATATATAATATACCTACAAAAGTACAACGGGAAGAAAATATTCACCAGTAATTATTAGGGAAAAACCTACCACGACTAATTTTTTACTCCTGGGTGAAAAACAAGTTACGTACTGAGATACAGTGTTTTTTGCCCAAGGTCACAAGCGAAATACACAGTGTGTGGTTCGAACCACCGCGCATCCGCTGCGTTAACCGCTCTGAAAATAATCGAATAAATCATCAACTTCCGACAACGGATTGAAAATAAAATTTCTGTTTTTGATGATTTTACTTTAAAAAAATCTTTAAACTGTGTGCTAAAGTAGTGTAATGGTCCGTGACTAAGAACTGTGTGTACATAAATAAGATATCGTTCTGCTTCGAATGTTGTGAATGGTATTCATAGAGGCGTAGCGGCCCATTGTATACTTCCAAACCAACACAGACCATACAATAGACTGATATCAAGTGTTGTGATATATACCGGAACTAGAATTTCTTTCTGTGACGGAACGCACTATAACATGACACCCAGTCCTGGACTGCTTACTGTGATTTTTACTTTCCATTTACTAGCAAGTAAGTTAACAGATTTAAAAGCATGCTGTACATTTATCTGAAATTTCTTCTAAGGTTTACGTAAAACTGTGTCTTTAATAGGCCTTTTGTCGAACACACGGTTCATTTTAACGATGAGGAATATTTTACATATGACTCATCCTATTTCAATAGATCAGGTAATTTCAAATAAACAGCGTAACAGTGAAGAATACTCGAATACTGTATTACAGGCCTATGCAACAAGTATATTAGAACTGTTGATTACCTTCGACATATCAAGCTTATAGTCGAAACCACTTTCTAGTTTAATAATTTGGGATACTTTTGGGATGTAGAAGATGGTGATGGTAATTTATGATGATGATGATGATGATGATGATGATGATAATGATGATTACCAATACACTTCACTTCGCATTCCATTGATTTATTCATTAAATAACATTAATTGTAATTAATTTGAAAAAAACAAAAACAAAAACAATCCAACCACTATACATAGACACGGAATAACACACAGGGTCAAAATATGGCAAACCTCAGGCAAGGCAGGTCAAAATTTACCTTAATTGTGGTCATTTCGTCAATATTGAACGTTACTCGTAAAGTGGCCACTTATAGTAACACAAAAGACAGAATAAATCGTGATATATTAAATCCTTCAGTATTTGACGGTGTCGGAGGCCAGGGAGTGTCCACGTTGTGTAACGATGAATTTGGAAATGACTTTGTTAATGGCCAGGAGGCAAAAGTTGACTGCAATACATGGTAAGATGTAAGATACATGGT